TTTAATTTAAAATTCTTTTGTACTAAAAAATTACTTCATAAAACAATAAGAAAGTCATCTCAAAAGAAGCCTAAGACTTCGTTTGAGACACCTTTCTTATTATTTTTAAAGAAGCTTTCTCGTATTTTTAATTGCTTTTAGAAGCAATAAGAAAAAAGTCCTAAATGAAGTCTTAGGTTTCGTTTGGGACGACTTTCTTTCTACTTCTTAAAGCATCTTTCTTGTACAAAAATTTTAATTTTTATACTAAAAAACTACTTCAAGAAGCAGAAAAAAAGCCGTCCCAAATGAAGCCTTAGTTTTTTAAATTTCCTTTTATGATATCTAGGTTTTATAAACATTCCAACGGTACCTTCTCTTTAATTAAGATGCCATTTTAAACGGCCAGCTTAACGAGCATTTTGTTTTAAATTTACAATCCTTCTATTTATATTTCCTGGATATAATTCCATTAATGAGTATTTCATTAATCAGATTATTTTTATTTAAAATAATATCAATCAAAATCTAAATTTTAATTATATAGTTGCATCACATATAAATACATGCTTTTATTTATAAATAAATAAATAAATATTTCAGTAGCACGTACATAAATCTCCTAAAATAGAAAATATTAAATGTAATTTTCCAATTAATTGTTCAATATAATTGTAAACAAATAATTTACACAACGGCCCCTCCACAATCTTAATAAAATAAAATAAATAAAAAGAAAAGAATGGAACAATTCGAGAGATAATGACAATCGCAGGTGCAGCATATTTGTAATCTACCGCATGTCAAATAGTGCCACGTGGCTTTTTTAATTGCCACGAGGCCTGCATGAGGTACGAGTGGCATACGATAAGAGTGAGCAGACTTTTATAAGAATAAAGTTTATAAACATTACGACAAAAATAAAATAAAATAAAATATAAGGCTTAAATAAACTTTTATAAAATATTAAAATATAAGCCTCTTGATCGAGAATTCGGTGGCCACAACATTAAAAAAATACTTGAAAATTTATTATAAAAAATTTAAAATTTTGATTACTTCAAGTATTTTAATTTATTATTATTTTTTAAATTAAAATTTTAAATTTTGTGAATATCATATTCTATATTTCAAATAAAAAAATTATGTTTCAAAAAAAGTTATTTAAAATTAACAAAAATATGTTTCAAATAATAATGTAATAGTGACCTGAAAAAAGTAACAGTAAAAAATTGCAACTTTGTTAAAGATAATTTTTTATTTGGAAGACATTTGTAAAAAGTTTCATGTATTTCATTACTCTGATAAATATAATAATTAAAAAATACAAATAAGAGCAATTAATAGACTTTCCTCTTATTTTTTATGATAAAATAAATAAATGTACTTTTTATCAATCTATTGTAATTACAAATTAGTCACAATAAATCTCAAAATTATCAAATACATGTTTATTATAATTAAAATTTTGACGATAAAATACGCCCTAAATAAAATGATTACTATACTAAGAAAGATGAACAAATTACTTTAAATGACTGGCTTTATTTATGACAGTTTTTCCTAATTTCTAAAGCAGTTTTTAGCATATCTTTTTTTTTGTTATATAAATTTTTGTACTAAAAAATTGCTTTTGAAAGCAGTAACAAGTATAAAACCGCAAGCAAAAGTGCGATATTGCAAGCTTTTTGTTCCACACTTTCAATGCAAATGATGGCTGAAGTAACAGACTTTGTTTGAGACTGTTTTTTTATTGCTTCTTAAAACAATTTTTTAGTACAAAATTTTTAATTTTTGCACTAGAAAATAACTTTAAGAAGCAATAAGAAAGCCATCCCAAACGAAGCCTTAGGAAAGGCAAAAGCAGAAAACAGAACATCTAAATTTCGTTTGGGACATCTTTATTATTATTTTTTAAATTAGTTTTTTAATAAAAAATTTCTAATTTAATGATATTCAGCTCCAAACAATTGTTTAATTAGATGGAGAAATTCACAGAATGAGAGTACATAAGAGTTGGGCCAACTTGTTTTAAGCTTTGATGAACAAGTGCTTCACTAATGAAGAGTGAACAGTTCTGCAATAATATGCAATAAGTACTGTTAGCTTTACCCTCCAATATCAAAACACTCATTGCAATTAATTTGCCTTTCCACTTTTCCTCTCTCATGCATTTGTTTTCATATGACACATGTGCCCACTCTAGTTAGTAGGAAATAGTAAAGATATTTGATATATCAAACCCACATGACATGACATCTCACCAAATCCACTTTGCTTGATTCCAAAGAAGAATGCATATTGAAGATAGCATTGTAATCGAGTCAAGCCGACTCGTGAGCTGGCTCACACTCGACTCGACAACAGGCTCGACGAGTCAAACTTATTAAGCTCGCGCGTCGAGCTAGAACGTGTTTTTGAGCTTGAGGGCTTATCGAGCTCAAGCTCCAATAGACGTTTGCTCGACTCATCGGCTTGACGAGCAGCTCGCAGAGGTGACCGAGCAGAAAAATCAAACCTCGGGAGGACAACTCGATGGCCTAGCGGGAAAACCAAAACGACGGAGTTTGAATCAAATTGTTTGATAGGATGATGGACGATGGAGCTCGATAACGTAGCTTGGGATGACATAGGTTGGAGGCTCGGAGCTCGTGTGCTACTAGCGGGGCTAGCCTGCTCGGGACGACGAGCTCGCGGCTTAAACGGAGCTCGATGAGATGACTAACGACGGAGCTCAAAGAATGACGGGACGATGAACGACAGAGCTCGCAGCTTCGACATAGCTCAGGATGACGCTCGACGACGGAGGTTAGGAAGGAGCTCGATGAGCCTCTCGAGTCGATTCATTTTATGAGACGAGTCGAGCTCGACTCGAACACCACCTGGCTCTAGCTCGACTCATTTGCAAACCCCTAATTGAAGAAAAAAATTAACAAGTCTTAATTTGGGACAGCTTGCTCACTACTTTATAAAGCATTTTTATCGTAAAAAGTTTCAAGTTCAAAAAATTTTTCTACAAAAAAAAACTATTTTAGAAATCATAAAGAAAGCTGCCCCAAACGAAACATAAATTATTCTTGAACTATGATGAGCTACTGCAATAAACTAAAGGAATGCATATTATAATATTTTGTTATTAGCAATGTTCGGTGCTTGGTTTGATATACTTTTTTTGTAATGACATTTCTAAATGTTAGGTTATCTAATGAATAAATAAAATGAAAGAAAAAATAAATAAATAAAGACAATACATATTATTATTGTTGACAACTAATTCTAAATAATATTGTATTCATTTAAAATATGAAAGCAATGAAGCAAACATGTTGCATTTAATAAACAAAGAACTAATATAGCATTGTCCATGTTTAGAAGGATCAAGTTTATTTAGTACAAAAGGTTGAAAAACTTGATGATTCTAGGATAAGGAAGAAGGCAAGATGCTGAAGTTTTTATTTTTTAATGAATTCTAGCACTTTTTAATGGAGAAGATAAATGGTAGAGTAGTTGGCAATGCAAATGTATAAAATTAAGACATCAATTGTTGCACAAACCTCACAAAATCCCCAAAAAAAAGTCCCACCATCTTGCATGAAATGTTGCAACCATCATTGTAATTTTAAATTCCAAAAGTTAGTCTCTAATAAGTTAAGGTTAGTTGGGAATTGGTTGAAAAGTAGTTGGATGTTAGTTAATGAATTAATATCCATCCAAACATGTTGTGGCCAGCCCCTTCAATTTCAAATTCAAGTGAAGGCATGAATCAAGGCATCTTAACAACTCCACACTTCAAGGATCAATTATTCTATGCGGATTCCGCATATCATCCAGAGGCGAATCATAATGCGCCATGTCACCCGTTTGCTGGGTACCGATGCTCGATACCGCTATGTACCGAGTGACATGACGCGCTGTGATTTGCCTCTGGATGGTCCGGAATCCACCGCACATAATAACTTTTCAACTTCAAGGCACCAACATATAATAAAGACACCTTGGCTAGAATAATAAGCTTGTCATGCTGACACTATTTTTTTCTTCAAATCAATTATTAGTTTAATTTAATTAAATGTTTAGAAGCTACCTGCATGCACTGAAAACTACAAGCATTCTTTGGCCTACAACAGAAATATCATAAAATGGCAGTTTACCACATACAGTTAGTATTCAGCATCAGTAAGTGAACTCCCATTCAAAATCAACATACAACAAAATTCAAATATTAAGAAGAAGAAACGATCTTGAAACTAGTTAATGAGCTCACATACCTCGACAAGCTAACAAGATATAACCACACGCAATGATATATAACCTGCGAATGGTATAAGTTTTTGGTGCTAAAAGCAGTAGAGGTTAATCAGAAAGAGCATCAATGGAGGCTTACCTCTTAATACACGGAAAGGATGTTGCCTTGACGCCTCAAAATCAGTTCTTAGCCTTGAGCATGTTATTTTCTTTTATGCGAGAACGGTTATCTAACTTAACAAAGCGTTTAAGCTCTTCATAAGGAAGAGTTTCAATGTCCTTTCGCCGGAGCTCACTCAATGGAAGACGTTTGTCAATCAAATGCCAAAGCCAATCAGGATATTCTGAATCAGGTAACACTTTGGGATCTGAACCATCCTTGAGGATGTTGGCCCCAACTACTGTGGTGCTCTTAACTTCCTTGGTCAGTGTAGAGGCTTTTGGAGCATCAGCACCTGCCCCACCTTTTTTTCCTTTCTTTGCTTTGCTTGCCCCTGCAGCAAATCCTCTAGTCCCCAGTGTACTAGCTGCCTCTTTATTAGAAGTGATTGGTCTCAGCACTCTAGCAAACATCATAGACATACCTGTATCAAATGTACTGCATTTGCTACCTGTGAGTGCCCAAGAAAATATGCAGTAAAAAAAGTTCATCTGTAATATTCATATATGATTCCACACTTGTAAAAGAACAGACCCCAAAACAAATACTAAGGCTTTGTTCGGGATGGCTTTCTTACTACTTCTTAAAACTGCTTTTTAATAACAAAATTTTTATTCTTGTACTACAAAGCTACTTTATGAAGCAGTAAGAAAGTCATCCCAAACGAAACCTAAGTCTACCCCTACTGCGCAAAACAAGTGCATCCACTCTCACCCCTACTAATCTCACGTAACGTGCTCGTGCCCCTCCCTCTATTCAACTCACTCACCATCATAACTTCTGTTTAACACGCTTACTTTTGTTGCTCGACTCACAAGCACTTCTTTCTTGCTCACTCAATCGACCCTCCCTTCACTCATTTGCAGCCCTCACATACCCACTACACATCCATGCTATTTTTTGCTTTCTATTGTTGGTTTTGCCACTGCCAATCACTCAATTCTCTAGCTTCATCTACACGCCTACACATCACTCGCAACACACTTCACTCATTGAACACCCTCATCATTGCAACAAATTGTTGTGCTTGCTATTCATTCTTTCACCTACATTGTCGTGTTGCCTTGCATGCTAGCTTCACTTGCTACTTCGCTACTTTTTTGGCCTTCTCCTCTACTCTTCAATGCTTCAAGTATGATAATCTAAACTCTTATTTTCATTCTAGTCTTTATCAAAGATTTTCTTTATCCTCTACATGTTGCAAAAATATCCTCCACCATTATTATCTCTATTAAATTCAATGGTACAAATTACCTCTTGTGGTCCAAGGTCTTTCGGTTTTTGCTGGTTCCCATGACAAACTCTCTTATTTTGATGCACCTCCTCAAGCTCATGAGGATAACATTAAATTCTCCAAACGGTAAGCATTTTATTATGTTGTTCTCACTTACTACTAAATTGTCTTGAATCTTCTATTGCCCCCAAATTTTTGTTCAATGAATCTATTAAAGCAATGTGGGATTTTCCCATATCCACTTCTAGAAAAATAACATCTACAAAAATTATATTTTGTACTCAATAGAAAAACTTATTATCTCAATAGCCAAGATATATTTCCATTCAAAATTACCACATCACCCATCGAAGCAAGAGTGCAAACATTATGAAAACACTGCCAAAATTGGATGAAATTCCTTCCCCACATCAGCCAATGGCACAATACCATTCACTTCCAATTGGCAAACATAACTGATTAAACTTTCATGCCAAACTGAAACAATGAAACAAAGCTAACTAAAATTCAGTTTGTTTGTTTATGGAAATAATCCATTCCTCATACATTCGAGGCAACTAGCTCTTCACAAATTATTCTGCTTCAAACTTTATCCCAAGGTTGGAAGAAAGATGATGTTTTATTTATGAGGTATGATGACCTGCAATTATTTGATGCACCGGAAGGGCCAAACTTCTAAATATAAAATCTAGATTACAAATATCAATAATATGATTGCTAAAAGAATATTAAAAACATAAACACTGCAACCTTACAAAAAAAATCCTTAATTACAAAATAAAAATGTAGCCATTCTGTAGAAAAATAAGATTAAATTTGCATAAAGTGTAAACTGATACTTTATACCCATGTAATAGCCCATCAAACAAGCAAAAAGATTACACAATATCACCAACATAAGACCAAAGAAAATAGTGGGAAAAACCTTGTTTAAAATCCTTAATCACCTCATTTTTATATTTGATTCCAAGCAACAGATATAAAATGTTCTTAAATAAATCATTTTCTATATTAACGTATTTGAAGCCATTCTTAAAAATCAAACAAGCAAGTAAAAAATTTGACATATTCCCAAAGTTTCAATATCAAATCCTTCAAAGACCTAAAGGACACCATGTAAAGTTAAATTATTTCAAAAGAATCTAAGATTTGATCATGTATTTACTTAAGACGGGCAATGGGAAGTTACTAATCCTTAAAATAAATGTAAAAAAAAAAAAGAGTTAAGAAAATTCATAATACGTTTCCAGATAGATTAACCGTATATATGTCTTCCATCATTTATTTGCTCATGTACAGTAGTGCTTAGATAGAAAAAAAAATTAAATTAATCAATAAGGGTTTTTTTTTTTTGCATGATATTTACAAATACTTACCATCCAATAATAGAAGCTTGAGATACTTACCACTCTACATTATCTTTTTTCTATTATTTTCTAAGGTCTTATGTTGGTGATATTGTATAATCATTTTGCATGTTTGATGGGCTAATATTTATGGTGTATTTAAGTTTTAAATGAGTGTTTACTTTGAATATTATTTCAAATTTTCATTTTATAATAACATTTAAATTTGAGATTTGTAATTTATATCTTTATAACGATGAATCAAATAAGCATGTTTTAATGTTTTAATTTACTTTTGTCATTTTTATAAATTATTTGTAAGTTCTTGTGTTTTTATTTTTCTGTTTTGAGGCTTACACCTCACCTAGCTAAGGCAAAATGCCTCGATTCCCGATTTCACCTTTTTAAACCTTGGATAATAGTAAGACATGCAACGTTTAATGGTGTAGAATGTTAGTCATTAAAAGAGAAGCATAAAATTATGTTAAGTGTTGCAGAGATGAGGATGCTTGAGTGGATGAGTAGCTTCCTTAAAAACCTATTACAAACTATTAAGTGATATAAAAACTATCACAATCCTCCTTTAACAAAGAAAGAAAAGGAGGAAACTTATTAAAACTTAGATCATCCAAAAAAAATCACCAAGTAAAGCAAAGTTAGCACAAAAATCGGCTAACTTATTACATTTTCTATGAGAAAAATGAAATAAAAAATTCTCAAAATCTTTCAAAAAAGATAAGTCTTCCGCCATGTCATTATCCATTTTTCCAAATGCTTTATCAACCGAACCTTGCAGATACTTGACAACATTGTAATTGTCTCCCTCAATTATAATCCCTTTGACTTCCATCATCCATTCTTGTAGTATCATTTTCAAAGATCGAAAAGCCAAAAGCTTTGATGGTTTGGTCACATAAAAAGGCGGCCTTCCGACGACCCAGTTAAGAGAGTAGAGGTATTAGATTTGACTTGTGTTAAGAAAGGTAGGGGTAGACCTAAAAAGACTTGGTTAGAAAATATTAGGAATGACCTTTCTTTATTAGATTTAAACGAGAATTTGGCTTTTAATAGGACACAATGGAGAAAAAGGATTCATGTAGCTGACCCCACGTAGTGGGATAAAGGCTTGATGTTGTTGTTGTTGTACTAAGTTTGTCTTTTCATAATTAAGTAAAATTGAATTAAAATAAATCTAAAGACCATTAAAGTTAATTTAATCAACTTTCACTGTATAATTATGATTAAGTTCTAAAAATAAATCAGCTCATAATTATGCAATATCACACCATCATGATTGGTTAAGAAAATGAGATTAAACTAAATGCAGCCAAATTATCTTTTAGCTTATCTCAACTTAAAAAAGCTTATTTTTTCACCAAACAAGCGACATAACCTTGTTTAAGGCTTTTGAGGCAGGCATCATCTGCCTTAGCTTAACTTAGTTTCAACCAAACAGTCTCTTATCTGTTTAGTTTGAAGAGAATGGAGGAAGCATAAATATATTTTACTTTACAAATTCCATTATATGGTTGGCTGTGATGTAAATACTAAGTAACTAAATTTACCTAAAAATATATACAAATGAATTTTCTCACTGGCAAATCCCTGTCTTTCCCCATTGTAAAACAAGAAGCAAAATTTATTGGATCGTCAATGTGATTCATATGTGCCTTCCACACAAGAAATAAAAACTCAAATTATCATCAACTACATAATACATTTTTTCTTTCTATCAAATCCTTCTCAATCAAACAAGTGGGAGAAAACTAATAATTTCCATTGCCATGTCATCTCATGTCATGTCCTCTCTTTCAATTCCTCAAACAAACTAGAGCCTAATAATAATAAAAAAAAAACATTCCTCAACATTTTGTATTAAATAAAAACATCTTTTTTAAAACAATAAGAAACACAAATTAATCCAAACCCAATCAAAGCAATTTATAAAAAAAAGCCAATTCTATAAAAGAATTAAAGCAATTATAAAGACCTTTGCAAATCATTAGGTTTGTGCGCTTACAACAAATAGTCGTCAAGATTTAACACACTCAGAATTTTTTAATGAACAAATCGTTATTGTCAAACAATTTTATAGAATTTCACAGAGTTTGACAGTTTGTTCTCGTGCCAAATAGTCGTCAAGATTTAACACACTCATAATTTATTAAATCCAATTAAAGTTAAATTCTGCTTGTTGCCAAATAGCCCCAAAGCTCTTTATTATGAAGAAAAGGGAACATGAATAGCTAATCGAAAGCATTTGATCCAATCACTGCTCTAGCTTTTGAGTTTTGGCTGGTTTTCTCCTAGTGGTGGATCATACCAAGGAGAAATTATTCCGTGCAGACACCAGACGGGAAGTGTACACTCACATGACCGGACGGTTCTTTCTATCAAGTGTCCACATAGAATAATTTCTCTGTACAAAGACACCAGCTTAACAAAGTTATCATTGACAACAATGCCAGCCTTGGCATAAAAAATAAGAGAGTAATAGACAACAATGCCAGCCTTAACAAAGTTATCAATTGTTTTATCTTTGAAAAGGAACTAAGTTACAAGTAAAATATGCTTTTAAGGAACATTACCTGTTATCAGCTATCAGCTAGGAAATTTGTGGAGACCATCCAAGTCCTCATCAACGTAAATCAAAACTCCCTTAAATTCAACTTCGCAGGCTTCCCTGCAAATGCACAAAGAAGCATCTCAGTATTGTGAGAATGTAACAGGAAGAAATCAAAACGGCTATTTCACCGAAGGAAAGTGAAAAATAAAAAAAATTTCTGATCCCTTACTTGATAGCAGCCTTAGGGGCTGTTTGGCAACAGGATTTATGCAGGATTTGAGGAGGATTTATGCTAAATCCTGCCAAACGGGATTTTAGCGCCCCTTAAATCTCACGGCGGAATAAATCCTCTGTTTCCCTCTTTTTCCGTAAATCCCGGATTTACTAAATCTCTAGTTCGACGGATTTACGGAATTTGGCCGAAGAAGCGGGCGAAAGAGAGAAAGTTAGCTTCACAGCCAGCGAGCCCCCGTTTTTGCTTCCGATCAAAATATCGTCGATCGAGCTAAGTCGAACACCAACGAAAGGAGCCGAAGAAGCAACTCGTGCAATCTCTACACCTCCGGCGAAGCAACGAAGCTGAACTGGAAGTAGTGGAAGGCAAACCCTAGACGCCTCACTTAATTAATATAATTTAAAATAATATAATGAATAATTAAATAATACTTTAAAATTAATTAAATTATTTGTAAGAGTATTATTTTAAAAAATAACTAATTAATTAGATAGTTAATAATATAATTATATACCTTTTTCCGTTTGATGTCATTCAAACCATTGATCCAAACGACATGAATCCAATGACTCAAATGCGATTTGATGTGGTTAAATCAGTCTCATCATTGCTCTGGAGTTGATGTTAGTAGAAGTTTATATATTCTTCTTCAAAAATAGTCATTAGATCAATTTAATTGAATAATTAGTAGTATAGGATTATAGAGAGCTAGCTGCCAAAAATGATTTGGTCACATAAAATATCGATCTTCTAATGATCGTGTTAGGAGAATATATATATTAGTTTTGGCCTATATTAAGAGAGAGAGGTAGACAAAATTTTTGATTAGAAAGTATTAAAAATAAATTCTATTTATTAGATTTAAATGAGAATTTAATACTTCATAGAATATAATGAAGAAAAAAGTTTATGTAACCGATCCTACATAATGGGATAAACTCTTTTTTATTATTGTTTTTATGTAAATCTTTGAGCAAAATTGAAAGACATGATATCAAATCAGACGGTTAGGATGGTGCTCTAGGAGTTAAGAATTTTGTTCGATTTAAAAGATCATAAATTCAAACGGTAAACCTAAGCTTGTTAGGCCCACCACAATCTTCAGAGTCCCGACCGTTGGAAGAAAAAAATTCAAAAAGAGAAGGCAGTAGGCCGTTGAGGCCGTGGACCCACTTCCCAAGCGAAACCCATTTCCAAAGAGCTTATTTTGCTACCCGTTAGTCGCCTTCTTCGTCATTTGATCGTATTCTTTCATCTGCCATTCAATATTTCAAATAAATCCCTTCTTCTCATTACTGGCATTCATTCCTCTCTTAGGAATTCAAGTAGCGACGGTTTTTTCTCAGATCTAAAGCCAACAAGATGGCCTCACGTACCGCCTCCAAGGACGTAATCACTCTTAAAGGCTCTGCCGCCATTGTTAGCGAGTTCTTTGGTAATTCTTCTTTCCATCTCAATTATTTCTCGCATCGTAAATTCTCTTTTGCTTGGAGTAAATGCTAATCCCTATCTACTCTGTACGTTTCTTTTTTATTTTCCAGGGTATGCTGCGAATAGGTAAGGATATGAGTAATTATCCAATTAGAGATTTTGATCTGGTTCTCTTTCTATCTATTGCCCTCTTTCTGTTTGATGAAAGTCCTGAAAGGGAAAAGAATCTGATTGCAGCATTCTTTACAATCGTGGGATTTATCCAGAAGAAAGCTTTGTCAAAGTCAAGAAGTATGGCCTCCCTATGCTCCTAACACAGAACGAGGAAGTCAAGTCCTACATTGCTAGCATCACCTCTCAGTTATCAGGCAAAATATTCATCCACTATTCTGAATAGATTAGTTCTAAGCTATTATAAATTGTTTTAACTGTCTCTTATTTCTTACTATATTTTGGTTGAAAAGAATGGCTAGACGCTGGAAAGCTGCAGAGGATTGTTCTTGTAATTATGAGCAAGGCCACGTCTGAAGTTCTTGAACGGTGGAACTTTAGCATAGAGACAGATGCTGAGGTCGTTGAGAAAGGGTAATTGCTTTCAGATTAATCCTTCTCCTAACGGAGGGTCTAAAACTCACATAACTCATGATCGACCAGAATTACGGTCTGTTCAAATTAATATCGACAATCTTAGTCTACTAGCTTATAAATTCTTGATTGATCGAGATTACAGGCCAATCAAGCTTGTAAGAAGAATTTTGGTTGGCCTAAAAGCCAAGATGGAGAGGCAACCCCTTATTGTTCTCAGTATTGGATGAGCAAAAAAAGTTTTTGGCTGACTCTGCTTTGAATCCATTCCAGGGTGATTAGAGAGAAGAGTGACAAAGAAATTATGAGGGAAATCCAAGCTATCATGCGCCAGATAGCTTCTTCCATAACTTACCTGCCTTGTTTTGATGAACAATGTAATATAGTCGACCAAATAAGCCATTTTTGTTCTCCTATTGTTCTCTGCTCTGGATATTTCTAGTTCTAATAATGAAATATACTGGATTTTTAGGCGTGTTTGATGTTTTGGCCTATACGGACACCGATGTTGCGGTTCCATTTACTTGGATTGAAAGTGATGCAAAGCTGATCAAGAACCCCCAGATGGTGAAACTGCATTCTTTTGATACTAAGGCAAGTTTCAGTTCTTCTTTTCTAAAATCACAGTGCTAATTGGTTACAATTTCAGTGTTTTTTGTTCTTTTTCTATTAAATTTTATTGCCTTAAATACAGATTCACAAGGTGGATACAATGGTTTCTTACAAGGTTGATGAATGGGATGAGGAATAAAAGATGGAATGTGCATTAATTAGTGAAAGTTTTCTCATTCACATTGAAGTGTCAGTAGTGTGATGAACGGTTTATACTGTAAGGTCACTGCAAGTTATCACTATAATGTAGAATGTTTTCAACTAATCTGGTTTTTTAGTTTTCAGTGTAGAAATGATGGAATTTTGTTTTCTTTCTCATGTGATTTAGTTAGCAAGAATGAATGTGTAATTCCTTGCCTTCCTTGCTTCACTGGCTTTGATACTCTGAATTTCTTTTCAGACAGTAAATTATAATTGCCCTTATTTAAAAAAAAAAAAAAAACTTTATAAAAAGAACTGAACCCAAAACTTACATGCCCGGAATAGCTTAATACCTGAGAACTTTGGGTAAATTATCTATATAATCTGTGGCAGCGGCAGATGACCAGAAACATTCATCAATAGGGTGAATCTGTATAAAATTGTGTAGTTTTTGTGCATTGATCTTTGTTTTCTTTTTTCTTTTTTTGCACTCCATGTTTTGATGCAGCTCATATTGGTCTGTTGATTGAGGGCTTTGGCTATTAATTAAGAGGTCTTGAGTTTGAAGTTTACGTATGTGATGTATGTGCGTCAGCCTTAATGGCTCAAATGTACCAAAAAATAATTCTATATTTGCATGGTATGACATCTTTATTTTGCGACGATGCCCTTGCATTGAAATACATCCTATTTATAAGATGTCTAGACTCCTATTTAACTATCCATTAGAAATTCGCTGATGGTGAAGGGCCAGACCACTGCAATGCATGCTATGCTTGCTTGCATTTAAAGGTGTGTAGATTGTGGCAGGTGTACTGTCAATAGTAAGAAGTATTTAGAGAATGCAGCTCATCTTAGTATGTTGGTTGGAGCTTTAGTTATTAGTCAAGAGATCTTGGGTTCGAGTCCCACGTATGTGATGTGTGTGTGAGTTTAAAGGTGTGGCGAAGGGCCAGACCACTGCAATGCATGCTGTGCTTGCTTGCATTTAAAGGTGTGTAGATTGTGGCAGGTGTACTGTCAATAGTAAGAAGTATTTAGAGAATGCAGCTCATCTTAGTATGTTGGTTGGAGCTTTAGTTATCAGTCAAGAGATCTTGGCTTCGAGTCCCACGTATGTGATGTGTGTGTGAGTTTGCCTTAATTGACCTAAATATTAAAAAAAAAAAGTATTTAGAGAATTTTTTATTCAACAATAGTTATTCGGTTTGGGCGGACCGCAATCCTTCTAAAAGCTAAGCAAGAAGATTATGACAAATACAAAATTTTTATATATGGTATCAGAGTAACATTCGATTCATAGTATGTTGTATCATTTGATGTCTTTATGTTATTCCATGTGGATCCATTGTTCTTGTAGTGTTTGAAACTATTTTGTGTGAGTGATGTTATATGTTTTTAGAATAATTTCATATATTATATATTTGTTGAAATTATTGCATGTTGTGAAGTAAAATCACGCGGCAAAAAATAAAAAAGAAAAAGAAATTAGGAGAAAGTACACCACGAGGATTTAACATTAGAAAAATTCAGAATAAAAAAAAGCCATAGAGCTACACCACCCCAAAAAATTTAGTATTTTTTCACACAATCATTTAAGTGAAATAAGAAAAACTGCTCAACCCTATTCAAAGCGCTCTAGCACTTGCAACACCTCGGCACTAACTTCTTTTGCTCGCAACACTAGTACTATGCTCTTTGTCTCAGAGGGGTTTCTCAGCACCTTGACACTAGTCTTAAACACCGCGGCGCTATACCGACAAAAAAAAATCATTCTTTCATTTATTTTCTCAAATTATATTCATCATATAAAGCTTAAGCTGTCATCAAGGCATGAATTTTCATCAGATAAGATCATTAAATTCTCTTCCCATAATAGTTATGGCCATTTATTTAAAAAAATAATAAAATTTATAGTCATAAATCTATATTACCGATAAAAATTTTTATTTAAAAGAGTGCAAATCTCAATCTCCATGCATAGAAATTCTATATAAAAACAAATTCCTCACCATCATTCAAAATTTACAGCGAAATTTATGTCCACCTGCCTAAGTTATTACTGAAAAATTATACTCAGAAGAATTCAAAATCAATATAAAATAAACAAACAAAAAAATAATTTATATACGAATTTCTTTACATGATTTTTATGCACAAATGCAAACACCATCATAATTGCACCTATATCTTTATCAACTAGTCACAACATTTTTAATGATATTATATATAATTAAATCATTAAAAATGAAGAAATTATTTCAAAGTTTCACGAGTCTGATGATGTGCGAAAGGGGACAAGACTAACAACGATCGACAATGTGTGAATGGCAACGAGACCGGCGGCGTCATGATGGAACAATTATTAGGTCAGGTAACCTGACGTAGCTCTTCATTCGGATGCCAATAACATGTAGCCACTTGGTCTTACTCAATACCGCGCTCCCGACGACTTGACCCGGGATTGCTATGTTCTCGTATTGCTCGGTATTGCTAGATAATGCTTGGCAATAATGAAAAATATCGATCTGTGAAGACCAATACCGAGTAGTATCGAGAAATACCGAACTCGGTATTGGTCTTCACATAATGATATTTCTCGTTATTGCCGAGCAAAATCAACCAATACCTAGCAACACGCGAACATAGCAATCCCGTCTCTGTTCTGGGTCAGGGTTGCCGGGCCACACGGTAAATAATGAGAACACGTGGCACTATTTTACCGGCATCCGAACGTAGAGCTACATCAGGTGACCGGACCAAATAAAAGTTCGTCATGATGAGTATTTATATTTTATGAGTTGTATAAATAAACAACAAAAATTGAATGCTAAACATGTAAATCATAATAGTTCAAGTGATATATGTAAATACTGCTAACATATATGACTAATCAAGCATGCAAATGAAGAAATCAAGATACATGTCATAGAATATATAAAAAATATTTCATTTCTTGAATTTTAATTTGGAGCAAAATTCTTTCAACCATTTCTTGATGAGGGTTTCCCCCTTGCCTTTGGCATCTCCTTTCCCCCTTCTTCCCATCCCTACTAGACAATAAGGGGGCCGCGGTGGTGAGTCAATATTCTCTCTCATAAGCTTTTTAAGCTTAAAAACAAGGCTTCATTTGGAATGGATTTTTTTGTTTCTTAAAACAATTTTTTAGTCCAAAATATTTTAATTTTTGAATAAAAAATTGTTTTAAGAAGCAATAAAAAAATCATCCCAAACGAAGCCTAAAAGTTGCCCGAAACAGTATGATGAATAATCTTATGTTAATAAAATTAACTAGTCAAATATTACATTATTCAACAATCTACCATTTATTCCTTCAACACATTGAAACACATCAATAGTAATAATATTTTAAGCAGTTTGTTCAAAACTAGTATGGCATCTCTCTTATAAGTAACCTCAAACTTTATTATACAACTAAATACACAGCAGACCTTTTCCTTTTCTAGAGAAAAGCCTCGGAAAACATTCTACCCCCCACCCTTTTATTTAATCTGATATAAGTAAAAGAGAAACTAGAGGTAATATTTATTTACCATGAAAACTTCTTATTTGCTGACTGCAAGATCCACAGGCAAGGAGGGGGTTTCCATGAAGCCATTAAAGAGTAGGTGGTATCCATACATAGCCATGCGTCTGCACGTAACCGGCCTTGGCGAGAAGCTGGTCGGCTTCAGCTGGGCCACGACTGCCTGGCTTGTAGGGTAGAGGTTTCAGTTCGCCATCCTCGATTCGGTGTAGGAGAGGAGTGAAGATCTCCCATGCCGCCTGATTCAAGAGGAGAGAGATCAATTAGTTTGGGTTTAACTATTTTGGGATTAGTAACTGATTGAAATAGATTCTACCTTTAGCTCATCTCTGCGCACAAAATGTTGTTGATCGCCTCGTATTCTGCAAGAAAAATGTCTAAGGACTTTGTATGATTGAAATGACTGTAAAAGCATATGTGGGCGAATTATTCTCTGAGGATGTCGAACGCTGTCCAGAGCCCAATGAAAATGCGCCACGTCACCCCCTACTCGGTATCGCGGCTCGGTACTGGATGATGTGGCTGCACCTGATTCGACTCTTGACGGTAAGTTGTGTTCGGTGTCCGCACAGAATAATCTCTTGCATATGTGAGCGTTAAGATATTATAGTTTGTTTTAACAGTAAGTTTGAAAATAATGTCACTGTGGAAAGGGACATGCTTCGCTAAAAATACTGTTAACACCACAACCAACTCATGTTATACCCGCGCCTATCCCATTATCCTACTAACCAGAGCTTTTAGGTAAGCTACAATTGCTTACTTCTCAATAGACTTGCTGTTTTTCTGTGTTTTCTATGCATTTAAGTGCTTCAGTTTGAATCAGATTACGAAGTGATGGAAATAATTAGAACATCTGAAATCTTGGGAATGAAGCCAGAATGTTATATTTAATGGGGATACAAAGAAGAAGTCTAAGGCTTCGTTTTAGGACATCTTTCTAAGTACTTTCTAAAACAATTTTTTAGTACAAAGATTTTTAATTCGAGAAATTTTTGTACTAGAAAACTGTTTTAGAAAAAAGCAACAAAAAAGCTACCTCAAATGAAGCCTAAGAAATGCATAGTTATACTCACGGCTGTCGAATGGGAAGGGAATACTCCAATTTGACTAGAGAAGCTACAATAAACAGCATATCAAAACAACGGAAACAAGGATTGGTAGAAATTTATCCGTTTAGGGTACTCTCGTCCAAACTCTCAAATTGGAGAAAGATTTTAAGCAATAAAACTTCATTCTAACAACTTGCAATTTAACCAGAACTTGATTACGACCAAGAACAACTCTCCAACTACGCCTTATGCACCAAATGATTGACCTTCCTCATAACATTATGCATTCAGGCTGAGACAAATAAGCAAATGCCTACTGTGAAGCCTGCTAGAGAGGCTGAGAAGAACAAGAATTCCAACATAGGTGATTAAACATTAGCTGCCCTTACTAAAATAAAATCTAAAAAATTATCAGATACTGAATAGTCTAAGGCTACGTTTGGGACGGCTTTTTTTATTGCTTCTTAAAATAATTTTTTAGTACAAAAGTTAAAAATTTTGTACTAAAAAATTGCTTTAAAAAGCAGTAAAAAAGCCATCCCAAACCAAACCTAATTCTACTTCAGGCTGAAGTTAGTTTAACATATTAATTTGTATTCCTGATTGTAGTAGTCA